TTTCATTACTACTATTTTTTGATTATAAATCAGAATTTCGACATTTCTTCAGATGCAAACATTAAGCATAGCTGTGCCACATTGAAATTTTTTGAGGGGGGAGATTTTATTTTAAATATTTGGACTTAATAAAAGAGTAAAATTTACATACAAAAAATAGCAAGTTCAAGTGTTCGATAATCAAATTTAAACGTTTTTATCAAGCGTTTTAAAGGTCCTTTGAATAATATCGATGTGCAGAGATGAAGTAATAAAATAAAATCCAGTTTTGAAACATTTATTTATTAAAAAGCTTTTTTCATTTCATTTTAAACAAAATAAATATATTTACATAACAAAACTCTTTTTTTAATAGTCCGAAGATGATGTATTGATAGATATTTCGTCATTAAAGCATAGTCCGAAACAGGCTTCGGAGAAGGTTGTATGCGCTCATTGCCTCTCAATTAAAGGAGTCACAATTCAGAATTCTCCCGAAGTGAAGTATCTAGAAGTAATTCAGGATACAAAACTGTCGTGTAAATCTAACGTGGAACACAAAACCTCTAAAGAATTGGCAGCTTTTTGGCAATGTAAGCAGGTACTTTGGCAAAACATGGGGTGTCGTCACCATAGGGAATCCTCTGGATTTATACCTCTATGATCAGACCCATAATTATCTATGCGTCAGTGGTATAGTGGAGCAGATTCTCAATCAAGAGCGTGGGAAGTATGTTTGCTAAACTTCAAATAGACTACTGCCGTGTGCTGTCCTGAAGCTTTCTCTACAATACGTGGCGCTGCTCTTGATGCACTGCTGCACTTAGGCTCTGATTATGCATACTTCGCATAACTTCGCACAACCATTTGTACCAGAGCACTAAAAGTGTAACTTAAGAAAATGTGAAGCAAAATCTAAACTCAACAGATCGCTAAGTTTTTAAAAGTTCTGCTAAGTTCTGGGTAATGGAATACATACAAAATACATACAAAGTACATACGAAATTACAGTTTGAAGTTTACGCGAAGTTGTGCGATGTTATGCGAAGTATGCATAATCAGACCATTACCGTCACTTTGTGTCTTCATACGTGGGAAAGCTTTAAAGGCCACCTGCAGACTAAAAAGAAACGGATGCTGCTATAACACTGAGTGGGGCAAGGCGGAAATTGCTAGCGGCATATTTCTGAGCACTTGTGTCTTTTCAATGCCACAGGATAGTACGCCACCTTTACCTTTGTTGAACAGATTCTATAATGCTTAGTTCCCTGCGGCTGAATGCTGGTTTAATACCAGCACTGAGCCCGGAAGTATGCTTCGGTCTTCCAGGCTGAGGTATTTGCAGTGACAGCCAAACTGCACTTAAGGCATTGGGCAGCCCTCTAACTACTTACTTCCAAACTCTGGGTGCCAGTTCAACCGGCAATAACCTATCGTCCATAACTATAATATATATCATAGCATGAAGCACCGGAATTAAAGCCTTACCTTTGCAAAGCAAATCCTTTTCGGTGGTTGGCTTTAGAATAAACTAATTTAATAATAGCTAATTTTTGCGGTGGACAACATATTTACCGGTCTTTTATTTCAAAGAAAAAGTCAGTTGGTTGTTTTTTNTATATTTTTTTTACAGTAAATAAATGATTATTGAGGATTAGGTATGGCGGCACGAAATGTCACAATCTGCTTAATTGTCAGGTAGTTAATATGGCGCCCGAAAAGTGACAATGAAATTACCTTCTTTTTTGTATCATGCATATATTCTATGTACTAACACCAATGTGTATTTGTAAAATATTTGAATAATTAAATCTATCTAAAACACTGGCTGAACTGAAGGGATTTAAGGGCATATTTGGATAGATAGATACCCGTTTTCTCGAGCTCAGGAATGGCTTCGCAGATATTTTGGGATTCTGCGCTGAATTGTGGAGCAGAGCCAATAAAATAAAAAAACTATTTCCATATCGATTAATATTTGATGACTCTTTCAAAACCGATGATGTATGCATATAACTGATTTCTGCATTAGATAAACTAAATGTTCATATCAATCGAGCGTATTTTATTAAAACTTCTTTTTTTGGGTACGAAAGGTTTTTTCTTGCATGCACCTCATTTGGAACGTCTGTCTACCTTATACATATCAGCGCATGCATCTATAGATAACGAAGTGCCGTTGTCATTGTCGTTAAAAAAGCAGCGAAGGTGAACAGCTTTGCACTTGAACTTGACATTTATACTTACTACTTATTTAATAACTTCGTACTTTGCATTTTAATTCGTATGTATGTATGGGTTAATTAATAAATAAATTTTATTTTGTACTTTTACGTTACGTGTTTATATAGTAAATATCAGGGCTTGCGATTCGGTGCGGGATTTTGAACTTTGTACGATTTCAAATGAACTTAATATTTTTTACGGGCTATTAACGTTCATTATCTCCTCAAAAGTGCTTATTAGCATAAAATGAAATGAAATTANCCGGCTTTTTAGTGCATTTAGCTGAACGCGCAATGCCCAGTTAATTCAAGTTTCACATCAATTTGTGTCAGTGTGTATGTAGATACTTTTTGAAATGTACACATATATAAAAAAACATATTTATACATATATGAGTTTACAAGTGATATTTGTAATTTCCCCGTCTACGCTTTGCAATCGCAAACGCTTTCATGCATGCGGGTACAGTGACGATCATTGATATTGGGACTCTTAAGTATTGACAATTCCAGCGGCAGCAGCGTGCGCTGCCATTCCACAGGCCCTGGGTTCAAGCCCGGTTCAACAAAACATCAAAAAATAAAAACAGTTTTTTTTCTAATACCGGTCGCCCCTCGGCAGGCAATGGCAAACCTCCGAGTGTATTTGTGTACGCAGCTCTTAGGCGGCGTAAATTTGTACGTCCCTCCCCTTTGTGCAACAATATCATGCCGCACGCCACAAATCGGAGGAGACGCTCGGCCAAACACCAGCGTAACTATGTGTTAGCGCCAATATATTATTATTATTATTAATTACACTCGTTTACAGCAAAAATGTTCTATGGATGCCACTATCGAATTCCTATGTAGAATTGCTCGGTGATTCCGAAAATCGTGTTAATTTTTTTTCTATGGATACGTTTTCGAGATATTTTCAAATTACCGTTATTCAGCTTAAAGCAAAAATTGGATCCTTTTAATCAGTATATCTTACGAACCAATTTAACAATCTTAATATAAAGTACGGCAAATGAAAGCCAATGAAATTCTCCATAAACCGCATATTAATCACTTTCCGACAGAGCTTACGGTTTCTCAAAAATTAATTAATCATTCCAGGTCTTTTTATTTTTTAATGAAAAAATCAAACGATAACAGAAGAAAAATTTAAAAAATAAATAAATAAATACGAAATAATGAGTAGTCGAATGAAAATACACAAAGATTTTTTGTACTTACACCGTGTTTTCTTCATCAACTAAATTTTTTTGTAACAGAACAGGCTTTAGTACAAATGCAAAAATTTGGCACAGAACCTGTTATTTTTTAGATTTTTCTTCTGTTAAAGTTTGATTTAATTTTCATTTTTTCATTAAAAAATAAAAAAAAACTGGAATGATTAATTAATTTGTCAGAAACTATCAATCCTATCGGAAAATGATGTATATAAGGTTTGTGGAGAATTTTATTGGCTTTGATTTGACGTATCTCCTTTTAAGATTATTATATTGGTTTGTAAGATATACGTTATTAAGAGGACCACTTTTTGTTTTAAGCTGAATAACGGTAAATTGCAAATATCTCGCAAACGTATCCATATAAAAAAAATTAACTAGATTTTCGGAATCACCGAGCAAGTCTACAACGAAATTGGATGGTGGCGTCTGGAGAACAAAAACCTAACTAAAAGTTGTGATCCAGTGTTGTTGACAATTCTAGCAAACCAACTCGATAAGCCCATGCTGGCAGCCATTCGCCTTTATTCGGCAGTAGGTACTTGCTCTGCTCTGAATTTAACCACTCCGCTATGGGGTAGCAGCTCATCAAAAGTGGCGAAAATATGAAGCCATTGATCGATTTTAATGAAACTTCTTAAATGGGGGTTTTCGGGCTCGCTCGGGATACAGTTTATTCCGTTTTGGGATGACTTAGGATTCTCTTCGGAAGTAGATTCTCTTTGTAAGGGGGTTAACCGGACCAAGGCCTACCACCACTACAAACTCAAGCTTGACAGGACAGAAACCTTTCTGTGTCGCCTATAAGCAGGAGTATCACATTGGAGTCCTGTGGTCTCGAGAATGATCCAAAGACGGTATTATGAAAAACCCCTCGAAAACTTATAGTCAACTTTTTGGACGACAGAGTCTCTAGATCTTATACGGCTAGATATTGTACTTCTGAATTCTACAGTTTTTTTCGACATAAGCAAACTGAGTAGTAAAGAAAAGTGTAAGTAGCAACCAACAGCTACAAAGGTGTACTTTATTTCCACCAACCACTTTTTGTGTATTAAGAAATATTTCTAAACAAAATTAATTTTTGCTCTTCACATTGCTTACTGTTCAAACAAAATACATGAAACCAGTTTCCCCCTCACTTGGCGAATTCTAGCGGAGAGAAACAAGTTACCAGTTTTTTCCACTTATTACTACAATCGTATGCGTGGAAAATGCGGTTTTAATGGATTTCTGTATTCTTTTTCATGTTTTCNCAACCACTTTTTGTGTATTAAGAAATATTTCTAAACAAAATTAATTTTTGCTCTTCACATTGCTTACTGTTCAAACAAAATACATGAAACCAGTTTCCCCCTCACTTGGCGAATTCTAGCGGAGAGAAACAAGTTACCAGTTTTTTCCACTTATTACTACAATCGTTTGCGTGGAAAATGCGGTTTTAATGGATTTCTGTATTCTTTTTCATGTTTTCACACCTTCGTTTCTTTTTTCACAATTCGCTATTCCACAGCGTTTCCTCTGTTTATTTTGCGTAAAAAACCTGTTCCAACCACTTCTCTGTGCTTTTTCATTACAGCCATAGCTATGTCGAGTCGCGCTTAACTAATCAGTCATAAGCCAGCAGCCACCAAGATGACGCAGAGCAGCACGGATTTCACGCAGATTCCTACAGCGACCCACTCAAAAGCTACAAGCAAAAAAGAGAAAGAAGCAGAAGCTGGTGCCACAGCGGCACCACATACCGCGCCCCCACTTGCCGGCAGTCAGCATTGTGATATACTACTGAACAACTTTCAAATCAAGAAGAAACGCTATCGCGTCTTACTCAATTACGACCACATCGTTTGGGAGCGACTGAAAACGAAACGCGCAAGCGATGTCGATGCTGAATGTACGTTGAAGAAAGGTGAGACCTTTATGAACATAAATGCATAGTTTGTTTATAACATGAAATTTAAAAAATTAAATTATCCTCCACAAACGTTATGATATTTCTTTTTCTATAGGCGAGCAACCAACGGAGCTGCTGTCGCACCGCTCAACCTATAGCAGCGACTCGAAGGTGCTGCATATAAACGAACTAATCAGAGTGAGTAAGGGCAACACAAAGTCAGCGGCATTGCTGATTACACCGCCGCAACCATATGCTGACTTCGGCGCGCATGCTACATCCGAGCAACAACAACAGCAGCAGCAGCTGCAGCAAGCCAGCAGTATGCCACCCACAGAGCAATACCTAGCGCTTTCGTATGCCGCGCGCATTATCAAATCGGCAACGGATTGCAATCGCTGGGAGGTGCGCAAACTGGTGCTGTTCAACGAGGACGCGTACATCGTGCGCCAATGGCACGCGCTGCTCAATAAAATGCTAGCGAACACGGCACCGTTACGGCTGCGCGTGCGTCGGCTGCTGGTCTTCATTAATCCGTTTGGTGGCCGCAAGACGGGTGTAGAGGTTTACGAGCGTCATTGCAAGCCGCTCTTTCAACTGGCCGGTATCGATGCGTCGTGCATCTTGACGCAGCGCTCGAACCAGATACGTGATATTCTGCTCAGTGATGATTTGACGCCGTTCGATGCGGTTTGTTGTGTTGGTGGCGACGGTACGGCCGCGGAGGTAATCAACGGTTTAATTTTCCGCGCCATATGTGATTCGGGCATGGATCCACGCGAGCCTGCATTTGTGCCAAAGCCAGCGCTACCAATCGCTATAATACCGGCGGGCAGCACGGACACCATTGCCTACAGCGTACACGGTACTGCTGACGTGCGCACTGCCGCCATACACTTGATTTTAGGTCAGCGACGTGGCATGGATATTTGCAGCGTACGAAATCGTGAGGGCGTCATACGGTTCTGCGCTAGCGTACTCTCCTATGGCTACTTAGGTGATGTGGCGGCGAAGAGCGAGCGCTATCGTTGGATGGGTCCGAAGCGCTACGAGTATGCTGGTGTTAAAACGTTTCTTGCCAATACCGGCTACGAAGCGGAATTGCGTGTGCAGCAACCAATAGGCAGTGAGTCAAGCGCGCAAGCGGGAAATAACACAGTATGCTGTGTGAATTGTGAGCGTTGCAGCTCAGCTGCCGTGGAAGAAGCTGAGCTGTCGTCAAAGCGCGCGTTAATGAAAAAGGCTATAATGGCAGGTGCGGTGACAGCAGCGCAAGACGATGATGAGTTGCCGTCATCGTCAAACGCCTCGTTGAAGAGTTGTGAAGATGACAGTGAAGCGTACGATGGTGCGGAAAGTAACAAAGCTTATTTGGCAGACGCGTCAGAACTATCAGTTGAAAAGGTAAACGTAAACGAAAAAGAAGCGCTAGATTGTGATGCATCTAAAAGTGAAATGGTAGTGAATCAAGCAACTGCTGCAGTTAATTCCGAAAACTCCGAAAGTGCGTTGGACCGCACAACGCCAACTACACAATGGAAAACAATAAACGGTAAATTTTTTATGATCAGTGGCGCGAATATTACTTGCGCCTGCACGCGTAGTCCAGGCGGCGTGGCGCGTTACAGTCATGTAGGCGACGGCTATCTGGACTTGATTCTAGTGCAAAAAACTTCGCTCTTCAATAATATTCGGCTGCTTCTCAACCTGACGAGTCGCAATGGAGATATTGTGAGTAACGGTATATGTATTATTAATTTAAATTTTTTTTTTACGAAAAGTGAATATCTATATCTTCTAGCGAAATTTACCCTTTGTGGAAACGTATCGCACCAAGAAGTTCTGCTTCCGCTCTCCCAACGTGAACCTTGAGGAGGCTTACAGCATTAGTGGTTCCTGTCAGCCGATTACACAAAGTTATGTTCACTATGACGACGAGGATAATTTATCCAGCTGGAATTGTGACGGCGAAGTGATCAATGAACAGGAGCTCACAATGATGTAGGTATTAGTTACTTAAGGCTGTAAATATTTTGAGATTGTAGAAATGGGTACGGGGTATTGAGGTGGGACGGAATATTTGGAATGCTGTTACACAGTTTTTCGCCGCCTCTCAAGAGCGAAAGGTGGCGAAAATATGCTCAGAGGCTTGCTCTCGCCTTGGATCGCCGTTGGACGATCGCTATTAGAAAAAAGCTTTTTTTGATAGGAATCGAACCAGGGTTCTAAAAGGTGGTGGTGCGCTTTCCTGACCACTCGACTCTAGCGGCCACCTAAGCCTTTCTTAAATTCTTTAAATTACTTACAGTTGTTGTCAAGCTCATTTAATAGAAGGCTCCGTATAAAAACAGTTTCGACCGTGTTGGTTAGGGGTATGAGAGGAGTTGGTTCCAGTGGGCATGTGGAGAGATGGTTAGTGTCCCGACAGACACTCAGCGCTCAGCCAGCTGCAAAGTTCCTCTGAGCGCCTGAGGTCAACAACTGGCCAGAAGGACTTTGCAACTTCACATGCTGGGTTTCCGCCCAGCACTCGTTGAGCCTGCTGTGCGCCCATCTGTCTAGGAGCAAGTCGCAGATTGCCCAACGGAACTCCTATACCCTCCCTGTGCGAGATGTTGGCCTCGAGGTTATCTTTCCTTGCTAATTTATCAGCCCTACAATTCCCATTAGTGCCACTGTGTCCTGGGACCCAGATCAGCCTGATTTAGAAGTATTCCGAGCCGAATGAGAGAGAAGTCAAGCATTTCCTGACGAGTTTCGAACGCACCATTCGCTATCCCAGCGCATACATGCCCATCATACATACACGCCGATCACACTGCTATATTTGGCTCATTACACGTTTACACGTAATAGATATTACTCTTCCATGTTGTGTTCTTTGGGCCCCAGGGATTGCCAGAATTCCACTATGGATTGCCACTTAACTATCACAGTAGATATTTACCCTTCTAATCGGCAAAACACTGATGCATAGCCAATCAGTTGCCTATTTTATAGCGGGCACCTCTGCCTGAAAGACGCTGTAGAAATCCGGCAGCCTAAGCATGAGATTTATTGAGACTTTCTGGCAGAAAACACCTGCTCCAACGATGCCATCCAGCTTCGATGCGACCTTTCTGTCGTGCAGCGTGCGGGAGATGGTTGGGGTTTTTTTTTGTTATAGCTTCGGGTAAGACAAACGTTACTCTCACGTTATTGCTTTGAATTCATTTCTGATGAACATGCAGGATCTTGATCTACCTGCTTGTTTCTCCACCATCAGCTTACGCTTAGGCGGTCTGATCCCTGAGATACTGCTACTGGTCAAACGCGACTCCTGAATCAGGATTACGTAAGCTCCACCTTGTTCAAGGAGATCTTCGGATGCCTTCTTAGAGTTCTGGGGCAGGATCCTCATCCTCCAAAACAGAATGAAATATTCGTAACCAATAAACCTTTGGACCTGAAAGAGATAAATTGTTATCACTTGCGGCATTTTTACTGAACTTTTGGAAAGTTATAAACTTTTGTGTACTATACATACATATGTACTTACAATTGTGTACTCTTTTTTTTAATATACTTTCAGCTCCCATTGCCAACTTATCGACGTCTTCATGCGTGGTCCGTACCCATACCATAAACCATCAAAAAGTGCTAAAAGTTCCCTTTTATGCTGCTGTTGCAAGCGTGATGATTAACATAGCCATCCACCGTCGGATACCTTCTGATATATGGTGAAAAGTGTTACATTTCCTGAGGTCCTAGGAACAACGATCGTATTTTGCCTTTTGTTGGTCACATTAAAGTGTTTGCGCAAACGAGTGCTTTCATAGAAAACTAGGCGCAGAATTAGTGTATGATAGAAAGTNTGGTTTGGCCTTGGATCAATTGTTATAAACATTTACATATATGTAGAACGTACGAATAATATTCCAAACCGGAAGTGTGGCTTTAGAAGTAGAATATCAAAAATTGCACAACTTTTTTCCTATTTTATTCAAGCTATGTATTATTGTTACTATTTTGGTTGAAATAATGAATCCATTCCTTTTATTAATTTTCGCTGGTGTCCCAAAAGGGTATTCATATTTTAATAGATTTTACTAAACGGACATTCCCTTCTTGAGTATTAGGTTTGAAAGGAAATAAATATATTTATGTGATTTATGATAATTTAAAAGTTTTGCACATTCAACTATAATATTTTAGAATTCTAATTTTGATCAATTTTTTATTATAAGTATGTATTTTTTATTAGCATAGTGGACATTGTTGGGATTTGTATAAATAAGTATTGTATTTCTTGCTTGTACTGTTAACAATAAAAATTACTAGAATTAAAAATGTGTTATTCATCTACATATAATTTGCATTCACTGTTGACACCTTCCTTTCCTTCCCATTCAGGTATAGCGCGACAGTATGCGAACTCTGGTTACCAGTTAACTTCCAGTTCCAAAATATCTCTCACAGCTATCACCGGCGGTAAGAAGAATTAAAATGTGGATGGAGGACTACAGCCTCACATTAGCTTACTGGAAGAAGGAGATGGATCTGAACAAGAAGACATCTCCACCTCGCGATGCGTCAAATACTAGGGGCTTATACTGGATAGTAAGCTCACATTCTGCGATCACATCCAGAGTGTGTCGAAAAGAGCGTCGAAAAAGACAGCAACGCTGAGCAGACGAATGGCAAACCTAAATGGACCCAAACCATGTATTTTTTTTCATATAGAGATGGAAAGCATCGAAAGCCTTAACCCCGTCAGTGTGACACTTTAACCCACTAAAACCACCTCTTCTCATCCGGTTTTCCCCCCTGGTACTACCGTCAAGTATTTCGTCAGGAGGCCGTTTGAGCAAATTTCTCGAAGATGTCTAGGTCGACGTTGTCAGTTATCTCAATACGAACGTCGGGGTCTCCGTTCATAGTCTCGGTCCCCACTTTGTACGTTAGCTAGTATCTATCTCTAATCGCTGTGCTCGTTCGTTTCTGCGTCGTTGCTTTTCACTTACCCGCAACTGCTGCATAATTTCTGCTGATACACTGCAGACCGCCTTCCTGCCTTTTCTGGTGCAACGTTAACACCCAAAGCTTCCTTTTATCTTCGTCGGTCATCGCTGAATCGTGGACAAGTAAATATCACGTGATTTGCGTCTTCCTCCGTTTCTGGGCCGCAAGTTTCGTAAAACGGATCTTTCTCGTGTCCAAAACGATAGAGGTAACTTTTAAAGCAGCCGTGCGTGGCCGCTAATAATTTGCGTGAGTAGTACCTCGCCGTACTTCCTATTTAACCATACGTCAAGTTTGGGAATGAGCCGATGGGTCCACCTTCCATTTGAGGCTGCATCCCACCTTGCTTGCCACTTTTCCATACCTCGTTGTCTTGCTGCTTTCTTGTAGGCCACGTACTCAGTGTTTGGGTGACCTCGTTTTTACACATGGAGCTTGTGTTGCTCTTGTGCCGCGATATCAAGGGGAAATAGCCCTGCTATCACTAGAGCTGCTTTTTCCGACACCGTTCGAAATGCAGAGCACACACGTAGGGCACATTGACGATACGTGGAGTTAATGCCTCGGACATATGATCCTCGCTTGAATGCGTGGAACCATGTCGTGGATCCATAGAGTATTATTGCTCTCACTACGCTTGCTAGTAGCTGTCTACATTGTTGGCTTGGCCCACTAGTATTGGCCATAATTCTAGATAGCGCTGTGGTCGCCACTGCGGATTTGTTGTTGGCATACTCTAGGTGGTCCCGGAATTTAGCCGATGGTCGAGATAGATGCCAAGGTATTTGACATACGGCTTTGATTCGATCGTGGCGCCGCCAACTGTTAGTTTAACTTTCTCCACCCTCTTGCGGCTTCTAATTAGGACCGCCTCTGTTTTGTGGGCAGCTAAGGTAAGAGACTTTGTCCTTAGCCATTTCTCTACCATAGATACTGCGGCCTCTGCAATGTGCGCGATATCGCTAAGCGTATTTGCTACCACCACAAGCGAAATGTCATCAGCAAATCCAACGATGGTTACACCTTCAGGAACCGGCAAACGCAATATACCGTCATACATTATGTTCCACAGTAGGGGGCCCAGTACAGATCCCTGCGGTAGCCCTGCTGCGACTTTGTGGCAGACATTGCCTTTTTCATTTCCGTAGCAAAGCTCTCTACTGCTTAAGTAGCTTGATACGATGTTATACAGATACATCGGCACATGAAAGTCCCTTAGAGCACTCAGGATTTGTTTCCAGCTGGCGCTATTAAATGCATTTTTGACGTGCAGTGTTACCACCAAGCAATATTCTTTATCACCGCCAAGCCAGCGTGTCCCGCTAATGGCCTTTTCTGCAATGGTCTTGGTCACTTCTATTGCGTCTGTCGTTGAGAGCTTTTTCCTAAACCCAAACTGGAAAAGCGATAATCGGTTTTCGGCGTATGTTTCCAGGCGGTTTTTTATTATATGCTCGAACACTTTACCTGTGTTGTTGAGCATGGCAAATGGGCGGTATGCTGAAGGCGAAGATCTATCGGCAGATTTTGGTATTAGTACCAGTCTTTGTTGCTTCCATATGCTTGGAAATATATCATCTTTCAGACATGTGCTAAAAACATTTGCGAATATCTCAGGGGTTGCGGGAATCCAAACCATGTATACGGAGCGTTTTGATGAAGACAATAGACAAATACCGCAGAGGTCTCGCCAACATTCAACGCAGCACCAAGAGTGGCATGCGTATATCGTATCGTATCGGAGGCAGCCGTACTCGTACTCGCGTCAATATCGCTATCGACCTTTTAGCCAAAGAGTGGCAGTCAAAAAAACGGATTGGGAAAACGCAGCAGCAAAGTAAGCCAAAGCGGATTACTGAGCAGATGGCAACAAAAATGGCACAGTGCTCCAAGAGGGAGGTGGACTGCGAAACTAATTCCGCACCTGGACTGCTGGCTAGACCGCTCACACGGAGAGTTGGGTTATTTCCTCACTAAGTTCTTGACCGTCCATGGATACTTTAGAGCGTACCTGCACAAAATGAGGAAGGTGGCGAGCCCACACTGAGTTAACTGCTTACATGTAGACGATGCAGAACATACATTCTTTTTCTCGGCCTCGTTACACCCGAAAATATCGTTTATAAAATGCTGACTGATAAAAATTCATGGTTCACGGTCGCGACTTTCACCGAGATCATACTGCGGCGCAAGAAAATTCATCTGGACAATGAGGAGATGGAAAGCAGGAAAGCCCAACACGATCACAATTTATAGTGGCCGCTAAAGTATAAAGCGGGACGGGAATTTGGAAAAGAAAAGGCGAGCCAATAGCTTGATGCTGACTTCAAATGCGACGGCCCTAGACGCAGGGCTAGCTGACTCTGACCCAACATGGGTCCCTTTTCGATTCCCTATCCCGAAGTAATGCGAAAGTGGTTCCTGGGTAGGGGAATATCCAGGGTAGGAGGAGGGATTGTTTTAGTGGCTATACCACACATGTAAGGGTGACGGCTCATATATGGTGCGAACGCATTTTAACCCTTTTCCTCACCGCAAAAAACAACGCACGTGAGTGGAGACTGATGTCGTTTTCTTTTCTACAGAAAAATGTTGCCTTCTCAGTGCCCTATACTATAAGTGACCATCAATTCAAGGTGCGGAAATGGTATTTTCAAGGAGAGAAGTGGATGGTTCTTGCTTTAATTTAAGCCTAAGTGAAAGGTTCTATCACCTTTTTACTCTTAGCTGAGCTTCTCAAATATTTTGACATTTTGACGTCGATTTTCTCAAAATCTGTACGTGATGGAATCTTTGTACTTACGGACTCGTAATCAGCACAAAAAAGTCTATCAAAAACAGCTATAACATTTGCCGCACCAAAATTTTTTTTTCATTTTTGTTTGCCTGTGTTATCATTCATTTTCGTATCCGGAATCGGTTCGAAAAAGAAGGGTGTTATTTTAAAGCAATAAATGTATTTTATTTATCCAAGCTGAGCATTTGAAAGCATGTATACCTAATCGTCGTGGCTGAGCGTGCCACTATTTGTTAACTTTCTGAAGGTGCCGGGCTCGAATTCCGTCAGGCACTTCCTTAATTTTTTTATTTTTTCAACCAAGAAAAAGCATCTGTAAAGTGCAGAGGGGAAGCGAATTGAACGAAAAATCCAATCAGAATGAGAAAAACAGCCAAAAAGTCTCCGTTTCACAACAGTTTTCGGTACATGTCTTTACATATGTTTCTGCTACGCACTTTAGTGGGAAAACGGGTCCTCAAAGTCATCGTACAGTTTCCTAAGTGAAATCACTATCATCTGATTGCCAAAAAATGTCCACAGCTGAAATTTTGGCATTTGCTTATATCTTTTACAATTTCTTTCATTTCTATTACAATTTATTCAAAATACACTGAACCAGAAACACCAATACACTAATCCAAAACACACCTACAGCCTGCCAAACACAGACCTACAGCCTGCCAGGAAAAAGAGAAGAACGTTACGTTACTTATGGAACTGTACGATGATCAAAGTATCCAAAAATTCAATCGGTAAACGGACAAAAATCCACATTTCATCCATTTTTTTTCCTTTTTCGGATCGTTTTTCGAATTTTTTTGCTGGCTGGGCTCAACCAACACCGCATATAACAACAGGCTGACAATATTGCATGGAGGGATGATCGCCGCCACTTGGCTCTGTAACCGCCTAAGAAATTTTAGACGAGTTCAACAAAGTCAGTTCAACGCCAGTCGTTTATCTTCTGTGCGAACTGACGCTCCTGACGCCGATTGGAAATGCCAAGTGAAGCCAAGTCCTCCTCCCCTTGTTCTTTTCAACCCAGTTGGAGCATGACTCTTCTTCTGCTCCCACCAGCGGGTTCCGAGTTGAACACTTTAAGTGCGACATTGGTACATACAAAAAACACTTCTGAGCTGATCACTCTTCGTTCACACTGTTTTTATATGGCCGGCATTCAACTTTGGCTATCAGTGCTCTCACCTAGGGCGGCCATCATGGCTCAAACCGTGCCATTTGTGTACCTATTTTCCTTTAAATGGCACCTGACTTTTAAATTTGGCACTTTTGGAAAAATATTACATCCTTTGCGTGTACTACTTTTTTATCAACTAAGGTATTCTAGTTTCCAACGTTCATAGTTGACAGTTTTATTTTTCTATTTGGCACCCTTTTACCCTGAAGACTAATTGTATTTGTTACAAGTGGTGCCGTCAAGCGACTTGAGAGCCTTGTTTCGGCTCTATACTTTGGTAACAATTGCGATTGTATACGCGGAAAGTAAGTTATCAAAGTAAACCCCTAACATTTTCGGGTTATTTATCAAAGGAATTGGTGTACTACCGATGTCGATCCTTTGCCCAAGTAGTACATAGGATCGCTAATGATTTCGTCGGGGAGAGGGTTAAGCTGTCAGTAAAGAAGCGATAAAGCTCGGAGAGGTAGTTGTTTGTCTCCTTGTACTTTCCGCTAGCAATTCGCGGATTTGTTTTCTGGACGCATACTGGCGTCCCTAAATTGGAGTACTAAGCGTTGCGTTTTCCATCGTCAACGAGTGTCAGCGCGCGCTATCCCCAAATAAACGCGGCGTAATTTTTGATGTTTTCCCATTTCTTCTCGTTTTTATTCTTGTTTCCTTTCTCACTTTTTTGTGCCTTCTCTTTCTTCCTGTCTTCTGCATCCAACTTCAACACGCAACGACCTGTCAAAAATGAAAATTCCATTTGCTCAGCGCTAGCGCCGCGTTAAGCAAAAAAATTTGTTTTCGTTGCTTTCTGAGCTGATGATTGCTTCACTATGTTTTGACGTTGCTTGTCTCTTTCTTCGCTATCATCAGAAAATGTCTTGTCGCTCTCTTTGTCGTGTCACATTGTTCTTTGCCTTACTGTGGGATTCTCCATACAAATTGTACTAGCATGATGATTTTTGACAGTTGTTTGGCGGTTGACACGCCAATTGAGGGACGGCAGATACTCATGGACCCGGAGCTTTGCCACGACCTGCCGAGGGATGACCGCTATTAGGTAAAGGACCTAGTGACGCAGCAAAGAGAGCGACAAGACATTTTCGGATAATAGCGAAGGAAAAGACAAGAAACGTCAAAACATAGTGAAGCAACCGTCAGCTCAGAAAGCAACGAAAACCAATTTTTTTGTTTTCGTCGCTATGCTCTTTGTCGCTTTCTTCGCTTCACTAAGTGCTGCCACATTGAAAAATAAAGGTTTGTTTTTGTCGCTATTATCCGATATCTTGTTGCTCTCTTTGTCGCGTCACTATGTTCTTTGCCTTCGAAAACACTATATATTTTCTTTTGTCCTTTATATTAGCCGGAAACTGGGCTCGATCCCAGGCCCTGCGGAATGGTAGTGCGCACGNAGCTATTATCCGATATCTTGTTGCTCTCTTTGTCGCGTCACTGTGTTCTTTGCCTTCGAAAACACTATATATTTTCTTTTGTCCTTTATATTAGCCGGAAACTGGGCTCGATCCCAGGCCCTGCGGAATGGTAGTGCGCACGTCTAACCACAACACCACAGCGGCGCATATAACTTTAAGGCCCCGCCAGATAGCTGAGATGCTTTTGACTGACAAGACGCACAGATCATGGCGAGACGGCACAATGAAAACGTTACCGCAAGCAAAACGGCTCAATTTGAATGGCCATAAATAAGCTGGTTTGAATTCATTCTACACCACGATGTAGAGAATAAAGGTGGCGCCCGTCTTGGTACCGCTATTCCGCTCTCAGTGAATTTGACAGAATCGCTATTTGTATATGACACCACACTTGTACAACTTTAGTCTGTTCCTTTGAACTTCGGACTAAAACCTGTGGAACTGTCAAACTACAATTTTACTCTCTCAAATGAGAGTAAAAGGAGAACAGATGCAGAAGTGCATAGGAACGCAAAAAGCANTTAGAGAATAAAGGTGGCGCCCGTCTTGGTACCGCTATTCCGCTCTCAGTGAATTTGACAGAATCGCTGTTTGTATATGACACCACACTTGTACAACTTGTTTACGTTTTTCTTGAAAATTTTCTTCTTGTTCTGCTATTCTTGCTCGCGTTTTGCCATTTTGCTCTTGCAGCTGTACCAGTGTCACGTCACACAAAAATGATTCTCTAAAATCCTCTCGGATGGACACAATCTTGCATTGTATCATTCTTGATTTTATACATTATTGTTTTGCTGTTGTAGTAGTAGTTGCAACAATGCATGCGTTCCACATGTGGCGTCTTCTATTCTAAANTACGTTTTTCTTGAAAATTTTCTTCTTGTTCTGCTATTCTTGCTCGCGTGTTGCCATTTTTCTCTCGCAGCTGTACCAGTGTCACGTCACACAAAAATGATTCCCTAAAATCCTCTCGGATGGACACAATCTTGCATTGTATCATTCTTGATTTTATACATTATTGCTTTGCTGTATTGGCGCGCACCAAAAGTAGTTGCAACAATGCATGCGTTCCACATGTGGCGTCTTCTATTCTAAATCATAGAGTTAATTTAGATGTCAGTCAAAAGCCTCCCTGTGGCGCAGAAAAGAATTTCTATCTGGGGGCGCCTTTACGATTGCCTAAATCCAGGTTCTTTGGCCGAGTCCAAAACAGCACGGCAGTACTTTCTGTAATTTCTCTTCTGTGCCACCTGACGCCAATTGGGAATGCGAAGTGAAGCCAAGTCCTTCTCCACCTTTTCTTTCTAACGCAGAGGAGGCCTTCCTCTTAATCTGTTACCAGCATCGCGGCCCGCGTTGAATACTTTCAGAGCAGGAGCGTTTTTGTCCATTCGAACGAAATGGCCAAGCTCGCGGAGCCGCTGAACCGTGTCTATATCGTTGTAAAGCTTATACAGCTCATCGTTAAACCGTCTGCGGTATTTGCCGCCGCCAGCGTGTAAAGGTCCGTAAAACTTTCGTGGAATCTTTCTCTCGAAGACTCCAAGAGCCACTTCATCAGATCTTTTCATTGTCCATGCCTCCGCGCCATACACAAGCACAGGCATAGACTGTGATCTTTGTACGACGAGAGAAGACTTTACTTTTCAATTGCCTTATCAGTTCAAAGTATCACTTGTTGGCAAAAGTGATTCTCCGTTGGATTTCAAATCTGACATTATTATTGGTCTTAATGCCGGTTGCCAAATAAACGAAGTCGTCTACTTTTTTAAACCTGCAACCATCAACAGTGACGTGTGTGCCAAGACACGTTGCTCTGATTGTTTGTGTGATGACAGCAGATACTTCCTTTTGTCCTCGTTCTAAATCAGACTCATTCGCTTTTCTTCTCAATCTACTCCCGAGGAGAAGGCTACGTCTGCCCTAGCTTTCACCGATAATATCGATGTCGTCGGCTTACGCCAGCAATTGTAAACTCTTATAAAGTATTGTTCCTGAGCGGTTCAGTTGTGAGGTTTTTATTAGCTTCTCCAACATCAGATTAAAGAAATCACTCGAGGTCTGAAACCTCGTTTCGTATCAAAGGTCTCGGGAGCCTTTTCCAAATTTGGCGTATTGTGAATACCTGATCCATGGTGGATTTGCCAGGCATAAAGCCACACTGATAAGGTCTAATCAGTTCGTTGACGGTGGCTTTCAGTCTCTCACACAATAAACTCGATAAGACCTTGTAGTTAGCGGTAGTTGGCGTGGATGGCGGGGTCGCCTTTCTTGTGGATTGGGCAGAACACACTTAAATTCCAGTCGTCGGGCATGCGCTCATCTGATCATATTCTGCATAAGAGCTGATGCATGCACCTCATCAGCTCCTCGCCGTCGTACTTTAAATTCCCGTGGTTGGCCTCACAGGAGTTCGCACTGGTATTGAAACCTTCCGTAAGTCGCCTAACTCTAATAAATTTCTTGTCGGCCAGCTTTTCAAGCACTTCGCAGCCACCTATTTCGGCCTCTCTCCTCTTATTGCGGCAAATACGTATCGCTTCCTTCATCAGTGCCCTACAACGATCCCACATGACTCGCGTTGTGCCCGATAGCAGCGTGGCCCTATAGGCGGCGTCTTTTTTCTCTGTGCCTTCTTAACATTCCTCATCGTACCAGTTGTTCTTTCGAGCTCGCTGAAATTCAACTACTTCTTCGGCGGCGGTACTTAATGAGCCGGAAATGGGGTTCCACTGCTCGCGTATGTCGGATCTGTTGTGATTGCAAGTTTTCAAAGTTAAGCTTTCCTTGCATTGTTTGGCGCACAATATTTGCTGCACAGAGGCGGGTACGGATCTTGGCTGCAACAATATAGTGAACCGAGTTGCTGTTTGTACGTACGTCTAAAACGCTGGAAGCATGCCTTCCATCTATCACAACGTGTTCGATTTGGTTTCTCGTTTTTCGATCTGGAGACAGNCCTGGTATTGAAACCTTCCGTAAGTCGCCTAACTCTAATAAATTTCCTAAAATCAATATGGTTTGCAACAATGAGGTGTGAACATGGTATAAAAAGAGGTCAGTGTTGAGAAATACAACTTTTATAACTGGTTTAACAGTTTTCGAAAAGTCTGGTAAGACTCATCTGAATTCAACTGTCAAACTATAATTTGGTTGTCATCGTCCGCAATCTGCATTTCATCGTTTGTTGCTCGCAATTTAATTTTTGTGTTAAAAAGAATCCAATATGTATTCTCAACAGCCTTTCATTCAAACAGAATTGTGGAAACATGGTCCAATACCAGGCCAATTTTATAACTTTCCTGGAACTAACCAAAATACAACAAATTTCGGAGGTTTCACAGGCGCCGAACAGTCTGGTGTGCAACATTCATCGTAAGTTTCCTCATACAGCTCAATAAATTTCAATTGTACTTATGTGCATATAATTCTTCAATTGTATGCAGATCCCCCATCACTACTGGTACTTCAGTGATTGGNTTTCCTAAAATCAAGTTGGTTTGCAACAATGAGGTGTGAACATGGTATAAAAAAAGGCCAGTGTTGAGAAATACAACTTTTATAACTGGTTTAACAGTTTTCGAAAAGTCTGGTAAGACTCATGTGAATTCAACTGTCAAACTATAATTTGGTTGTCATCGTCCGCAATCTGCATTTCATCGTTTGTTGCTCGCAATTTAATTTTTGTGTTAAAAAGAATCCAATATGTATTCTCAACAGCCTTTCATTCAAACAGAATTGTGGAAACATGGTCCAATACCAGGCCAATTTTATAACTTTCCTGGAACTAACCAAAATACAAAAAATTTCGGAGGTTTCACAGGCGCCGAACAGTCTGGTGTGCAACATTCATCGTAAGTTTCCTCATACAGCTCAATAAATTTCAATTGTACTTATGTGCATATAATTCTTCAATTGTATGCAGATCCCCCATCACTACTGGTACTTCAGTGATTGGCATTAAGTTTGACGGAGGTGTAATGATTGCCGCCGACAACCTCATCTCATATGGCTCCTTAGCGCGCTATCAAGATGTACAACGTGTGTTCAAGATAAATGAAAAAACGATCATAGGTGCTGGCGGTGATTTCGCCGACTTCCAGAGTTTGAAGCGCAGCATCGATCAAAAGATGGTTGAAGACATGTGCTATCAGGATGACATTGATATGCAACCTAAATCATTGTACAATTGGTTAACACGCGTGCTATACAATCGCCGCAGTCGCGTTAATCCACTATGGCTAGAAATGGTTGTTGGTGGCATACAGGACGGTGCGCCCTTCTTGGGTCATGTAGATCTGCGCGGGCGCGCTTATGAAGATGATGTAGTGGCTACCGGCTTTGGCAAACATTTCGCACTACCATTAGTTCGTGAACAAATCTCAAATGGAGAGGTGCTAACCCAAGCGCAGGCCTCACAAGTGGTAAGAAGGGATTTGTAATTTTACAAAAAAGTGGGAATATTTATATAAACCTCACTTTATAGTTACGCAAATGTATGGAAGTTTTATACTATCGTGATTGTCGTGCGATATCCAAATTTTCGGTAGCTGTTGCCACAGCCCAGGGTACGATTGTTCAAGGACCTTTTGACGTTAACCAAAATTGGGAGGTGGCTACTATGGTTAAGGGCTATTAAATACAAATCTGTAATTGTGTTTTAAATACAAGTTATAAACGAAATATATCTTAAGTATTTGGCTAAAATGGAAACGTCTTTTTGGACATTTACTGCACACAATATTGCTAAGAAAAGTACGAGTAATAATTTTGATTTTTAATAAAAGGTGTTTAAAAACAAAATTTCGCGGTTGCATTTTCTTTAAGACAATCCCGAATTAGGATTCGTCCGAACTAATTGTGTACACCTTCTTATAGACACCTCGTTTCTAACATCTTGTGCCTTTTCACCTTATTCAAAATATAAGTTGAAGAATTTTTGTCTTTCGTTTAGCTTCGAAGCCATTAATAACTTCTATTTGCAAAACGTGGGACAAAAGTGTACACGGTTTACATAACAATTGAATAGCCTCTCTTTGGGCAGTAGACCCATATCATATGTAATGTATGTACTCAAAGATCTATGCAGTCTCAAACTGTATATAAGAAATTATATGTATGTATGTCTTTCTAATATCGCTAAAACCCTTTATTTTCACATAAGTGTATGTATGAATATTCGTAAGTATGCAGGCATATGGGCAGATTTGTTATCATTACTTGGAATACATAGATTTAGAAATATAAATTTTACAAAAAAAAAAAAAAACAACAACAAAAAAGGAAATTTTTCTAATCAAGTACTTCCCCGATATGAGATCGTCGCCACTGTACAAGATGTGGAATAGTTGCTGCTGGTGATGACATGTATGTATATAAATTTTCATGAGATATACCGATTACACTTGACATGTCTTAATTAAGATAAATTCAAAAATAATAATGTTGAATACGATTGATATTCAAATTTCAAAAATTTAGTTCAACATTGTGCGTCGGTCATAGATGTGACGACGTTGTTCGCGTACTTGGCGCTTCCACTTATCCGTCTGATGGCCAACACGATTCAATACATTGGCACGCGAGTTCAACTCTTGATTTGCCATGCCGGTTGGTAATGGTGGGGCAGTAGCACTTGCGTCGTCCTAGCAATTGTGAAAAGAAATAAGGACAACATGTTAGAGATTTAAAAATTGTAGAGCAGTTATTAGTGTGGTGTATTAGTGAAAATTCTTTAAGAGAATACTAAAAAAGGTAATCAAGTTTACAAAGCGAATAAACTTGTATATAAATGAAATAATTTGTAGTGAATGAGTGGATAGTTAGTGTGTTAGTAACCAAAAATTAACGATAATAACAAAAAGATGAACACCAGCACAATAATAACATGAAAACGAAAACGTAAACTAAAACAAAATCAATCAGAGTCTTTATTGTCATCTACTAAGAGACTATATTGTATGTTGGCATATTTGATATCTACATCTTCGTTTGTGTGTTCCTGATAATTCGCCTTAACACGTTTGTTGAGTAAGGGATCCAAGCAAATTAGGAAGAGCATGTATATCACCAGAATTGATATAATCCAAATAACAATGATGACAACGACCTGTTACGAGTATTAGATTAAATGTATATCACCATAATCAATTCAGCTTTATCAAGTTAAAAGCAAGCTGTTTAATTGAGAAAATATATATGCTTATGCCTAAAATAGTATGTTTATATCTATATTAAAATTTAAATCGCTTCCAAAAACGCTACTTACCTTTATAAGTGTGGTGTTGCGCGCTTCATGCTGGCATTTGCATTCTG